TCATTGGCCACGGTTTGCACCCCGTTCTCGCAGTTGTGAACGGAACTCCCGTATTTTATGCCCTTATGACCATGCCTCTATGCCCTTTACGTCGCCGTCTGAACGCACCTTAAGAACGTGCCGACCAAAACAACAGAGGAGATCTGGAAAGAAGACAGTTCCCTATCCTAAAGGTGAAGCAATTCAGTAGAAGCAGAAAATACAATTTTGAAAAACTCCCGATCTGGCTGCTAGAATTGAAAAGTAATAAAAGCGGATATGCAATACATAGCTTGAGTAACACGTTCAGTTTAAACGTAACTACAGAAAAGAAAGATCCAACAAAACAAAACAACCAACACACTGTTTCAGGTGCCAGGAGTGGGGACACTCCCAGCGCCTATGCACAAACCAGGAAAGATGCTGCAAGTGTGGCGAAAATCACAGGAGCAAAATTTGTCCTCTGAAAAAGGATGATAAGCTCATCTGCGTGTTCTGTGGAAAAAATCATGTCTGCAGTTACCGTGGATGTGGCGAATATAAGAAGAGATTTGAAAAAAAAAATAGCCCTCCCCCAAAGCAAAAAGATTGGGTACGAAAAATTGGAGACTTTCCACAACTTACAAATGTGAAAGAGATGGAACCCACAAAAAGTGCAGGATCACAGGTCAGCGAAAAAGCAAGAAAGAAAACTTTCACGATTCCAAATGAATCAGAAGGAGCCATAAGCTGGCTGCGTGATGAGAAAGTTCAGAAGTTTTTAAAAACTATCATAGAACAAATGGATAAAATCAAAAAAGTAAAAATAATTGCAGAAAAGCTTTCAGCTGGTTTTAGAACCCCGATGTACATAATGAAGATACCAGAAGAGCAAATTTAAGAGTAAAGTCCCCTCGCAACTAAAGAAACTCAAGTCTTTAACTCATTTTTCAAAATTTAATCATTTCATCGGCAACAGGGTTCCCTGTTCTCAAGCAGCATCTATCGGTGTCAGTACTTGGGTGGGTGACCACCCACGTGTATGGCCTCGAAAAATCAACGCACTTCAACTCATGAGAGGTGGTGTGGTGGTGTATTTAATTATGGCAAAACACACTAGGGCTGTCTGCTTAAGGGGAGGGATGCCTTCGTGGAGGACTTTCTAAGGGAAACTGGCTCGTATACACGTTACAAATGGGGAAAACTACGAAAACACGCATGCAGCCAGCCCGTTCGCGGGATTCGAACCTCGGACCGAACTACCAGTGTTCAGCGACTTTACCGCTCGGCCGCTGGTGGGCCAACAGGTGCGCAGGGGATGAGTCTTCCAAGTCACGTGATGCCCTCTGGTGGCTGCAGGACTTACTGATACCGTATATATATATATATATTTGTACTGAGATGGTTAGATATATATGTACTGAGATGACATGGAGAAAGCTGCAACGGATTGGATAAAGTTATTTGCCTTGTAATAACGTAAACAGTCTTTACTGCGTAGTTAGACAGATAATACCTGAAGACAGACGTAGCCTTAAACTCCCCACGTAATTTTATTCTTTCATAACTAATTCTAAGGCCTCATAATCTTTTCCATTGGACATCATCATAGTGGGTAAGCAATGCACCAACAGTTTCATGCAGATTATATTTTTAGAACAATGGACAATGGCTAGCTGTGGCTGAGCGAGTGAAATAGTGTCTTAACACGGACAGAGCTAGAAGCAAAAAGTGCACAGTTATACATTATGGTAATTCACCAAGGAAAAGATTTCACTTCTTGAAATTTTGACTTCCAAATCAGTTACGTGAAAGTCGTTCCACGATTTAGGAGTATATCTCACACCTATACTACACAAAATCTGGTTTATGGCTCGTGGCATAGGGTGCAAAGTTCTCAACTTTACGCCGAGTTTGGGATAAGCCTCGACCAATCAGAGCGAAGCTAAAACGAAGCGGTGTTCTGCAGAAGATTTCGCTGTTACAAAACAAGCAGAGCGAACACTGGAAATCAATCGAGCACGGGAAAGTTGTAGACACATCCACGCATGCGCAAATTTAGCTTCTCTCATTGGCCACGGTTTGCACTCCGTTCTCGCAGGTGTGAACGGAACTCCCGTATTTTTGCCCTTATGACTATGCCTCTATGCCCTTTACGTCGCCGTCTGAACGCACCTGAGAGTCATACTTAAGAACATATTTATATTTGAGTGCCATTGCAAGTTATTTTAAATTGAAAATTTATTTCGAAATTTATGGTTCTGAATCTCAAATGTCTCAGAAGAACAAAACTTGTATTCGGAACTCATTGATCAACTTAGGTTTTGGTGTTCAAAACACTTTTCTCTTGATAGGTTCTTTTTGAAGCGTTCAACTGAGGTTCATTTTACTTTCTTATTTTATGTAATGTTTTCAATATTGTAATATTTACTCGACCTGCCTTTGGGAACGACTTTCTTCGAGATACAAAATGGCTAGGAGCTTTAGAGGAAAGAAATTGTAAACTTGCATTTAAGCTCCAACTATTTCCTTTTCTTTAAAAAAAAAAATCATTATTTTCGAACCTGCAGCAATTGCGTAGATAGTCCAGTAGTTTTTAAACTTTGTTTTAGAAACCTGTTAAAAAAATCTTTGTCGACTGTCTACAATACAATATACAAATATATTGTATTGATTGATAGAGGAAATTAGCGGGCAAATTCAATAGATATTTTGATCAGAATTATTTGCATCAGATGCATATTATGAGGAAACATGCTTTGGAGAAGTAGGCGCTCAATCCCGGAAAGAATTCTATTGTTTGCTGGAAGAGTCCAAGATTTGTAGGTATGGTACGTGAAAGTAGGGATGAGTTAACAAGAGAAAGGATGGGATTTTGAGTATAGGGAATTTCAGTCGTTCCGGGATTGAGCGCCTACTATGAACGGGCTCCTGCTTTGTGAGGGTAGCTAGCGTTTCGTCAGTAAGTGTATTATTTATTATTCTTATTGATTGTCTGCCCTTTTTCTTTACAGTTGCGATTTTCTACAATACCTTAATAAAAACTTTACAGTTACGTATTGTAACTTCATGTAATACTCTGTTACTTTACCGTAATAAGAGTTCTAATAAACATTAAATTTCGTTGGAATAAAAAAATTATGTAATTTCGCCAAAACGTTATGCCTTTAAGCAAATTTTAAATAAGCATACAATTTTACATTGCAAACACGTATTTCTCTAGGAAATATTTTTTTTTTGTTGTTGTTTCATAAATTGATAAAAATGAATCTGTCCTTAAACAAAATGTTCAATAAAACATGGAGCTTAAAAATAAGCAGTGAAACTCCTTCCACGGTTCGGGAATAAGTCAGCGAGCAAATTCCTTTTTTCCCTGGTACCCACTGAAAGCCATTCCACGATTATTTCCGTTGGAAACCTTTCCTTTCTATTCCTCTCACCTGCATGTATTGAACTCGCCCAGCTAACAATAGCAGTCGTTCCAAAATTGACCGTCTAGTCTCTGGAGATTTTCGTGCAATTTTTACTTTTAATTAATAATATAAATTTTGAAATAAAAATTTTAATCGCAGGCAACAATTAAGAAAATTTTTTATCAAAACTATTCACATCAAATATCTTTTATGAGTGAACATGCTTTTTAGAAAATTTCATGCATTTTTTTGTTTTCTTCAATAATATAAATTTATTTATTATATATAATGATTATAAAATTTAGCATTTTTAAGCGCTGTAAGCTGATTCCAGTTTTTGTCGAAAACTTAATTATATTTCGATGTTCAATAAAACTGACGTCATATGTAAAAAGCAATAAATCTTGCCTGTAGAAGACAGTTCGGATATTTTCAAAGCCAATTTCTGTTTTATCTTTCTTTTCTCTCTCTTTTTTACTTCCTTGTACGAAGTAAAAAGGAAGTATTGTAATCGCGAAAAGTTTCAGGCAGCATATTTCAACGAAAATATCCCATTTTGACCTCTTTCAAATGCAATTGAACGATGTTTTTCGATATCTGTACGTAAGGACGAATTAAATACTCTTTTCCTTCAAAAAAATTATAAAACTGCTTTAAAATTAATTCTGAAGAGAAATTTTCGTGGCGTCTGTACGAAAGTATGTACGTACGTTCGTGCGTACGTACGTATCTCGCATAACTCAAAAACGAGTAGCCTCAAAACGTTGAAATTTTGTATATAGGACTGCTATAACATGTAGATGTGCACCTCGTATTTTGGTTGCAATCGGCAGCACCAAACGTATATAAATATATTTATATATATATCCACTCTATTACCCGGCTCAGTGATCTCAGTTTCTTTACTCTTATATGTTTGTAAATTGTCCATTTTTTGCTTTAAAAATGATTGAATTATGTTGTTTTTATCTTCCGGTTAAGGATTTTATGCCTTTAGTAAATCTGTGTGCAATATTTTTAGAATTATCAGCAATTTTAAAGTTGTTTAATTGCCGCTAAGCCTGTTTTTAATGGCGGCTATTGGTGTTTACATTTGAAACAGGAGATTAGTGGATTTGTTGCCAATCTAGAGAAACGTAGCTTCGCAACAACAAAGATAATGCATACATTTATTATTGCCCATTAAATCATGCTTAATTCTTTCTAGAATTTTTTCGAGGAAATAAGCGTTTGAGATTTACTTCGTAATTTTAATATAGATATTTTGAGTTTTTATGTATTTTTGCCTTCTCGCGAAGTGAGAACTGAATTAGTTAAATGAGAAATACTCAATTGTCTGTGAAAAACTGTTTCTGTTTTGTTTTGTTTGCTTAATTTCTTTTATACATAGTTCTAGCTTTATTATAGTATTTGAATAGAACATATGGCAACGATTAGATAATTCTTTAAATGATATACATTTTGTGCATTCTGAGTTATAATATGGACGAAATATAATACTGTTAAGTAAACCTAGCGCCAGAGTGTCGCTATGGTAAACAAAGTGAATTTTAAAGAATGCATTTATTCTATTGTTTTCTGCGCTGTCGGCGAAGTAGGTTTAATTCAATCTAATAAGTTTAAATAAAATGCAAGAAAAAGTGCGTATAATTTAATATTCCGTACAAGGAAGTCATGTGGTGTACACATCAAATTTTTTTTTTTTATTATAATAACGTTTCGAACGTAGGTAGAAATAAATATTGGCCCTTTTCTTTTGACGGAGGACCACATATTATTAAACATGAAAGCTATCACGAAATCTAACTAGATGGCAGCAAAGCTAACGATACGTACAAAAACTTCATGAAAAAAAGAACTTTTAATAATAATGATGTATTTCATAATTTACTATATATAAACGTTTAATGCGCGCAATGCGAAAGCTGCGCATTATGCCGAATTGTGCATTTGTCTGATTTTTTTAACCAAAAATACGTAGGTCGCTATTAAATAACAATCCTCACCATGTACAGAGAGATCTACTTTTGTTTAAATCATCAAATAATTATATAAATTCGGCATCGCACACAGCCTTGGCACTGTACACATTGAAAATTGCACGGCTATTCATGACTTGATATAAAAAGGCCACAACATCTGAAATTTAGTCACACATTTGTCGACTGGTACTCCGTTAACAGAAAAGAACCGAAATATTTCATAAGTTTAGGGAATTAAAGGAACATAAATATTCAAAACTTCCCTATGGTACAGAAAGCATAAATTATTGTCTTAGAAATTTTCTTCTTCTCTTTGTGTTCTTTTGCATCTCCCTGAAAACATGGCGTCGTCAAATTATTATTTCATGTTTAACTTTGATTCCACCATTATTTATCTGTTCGACATAAGTCTGCTTACTAAGAAAAAAATTTATGTAGTCTTTATTATTAATTGGGCCTAAAATTCCTCCTAATTCTTCTGGAAGAACTTCGGGTGGCACATGTTTGTGGAATTCTACCAAATCACTTGTATGTAGATGCAACTGAAAAGAAAGCAGAAAGTAATCTATGTTTATTTTACTCTGTACAATGTGCATATATATATATTTAAACAAATTTAAATTTAAATTTTAACAAACACGTATAAAAGTAAAAAAGCAAATTTAAAGCCAAAATTTTTTTTTTTAATTTAAAAAAAATGTTCAAGCATATAAAAGATTTAATTCTCGAACTAATCTACAATATCATTTAAATTCAGAAGCATAAGCAAATCAAGTGCAAAACCAAACCGTGAAAATAAATTCACTAATTTAGCAAATTAAAATTATTCCAAACAATTTTTTTAAAAATGCATAAGTGAATGACTGTTGAGCAGGCAGGAGACAAACTTATCAAGGGGAAGTTGCCTCCAAATCTAACTCTCCAATCATTCAATTCGTGTTTCGTCATTCATGCAGGCAAGGGTAAAAGTCAAAACCAAAAGTAAAAAGTGAAGAATGTCCAAAAAGAAATACCAATAAAGTGGTACCCCTAGAAATTAGCATTTAAGAATTAAAGCTCTAAAAGGAAAATACTAATGAAGCCTTTTGAGAAACAAGCAAGTAAAGTCAAGTATTAAATTAAACTTTTTTTAAAAAATTAAATTTAAAAAAATTTCTAATAAAAAAAAATAATCAAGAAAACAATGCATTTTAGAAACCCTTGTCTACAGAAACCTCCCCGACACGAATATACATATAAATAAAAAGAAACTAAAAAAAGAACTAGACATAATCCATATAAACCAATAAGAAACAAAAAGAACTAATTTACCAATTTTAAAAAACAAAATATATACTTAAAAATATAATTTCATATTTAGAAAATACTTAAATACTACATAAAAATTTTTAAAAAATACTTAAAGCAAGTAAATAGTAAGTTTTAATTCTAACTTACCTACTATATGAGTGTTGGGGTCTGCAAAAGTGTTTTAAAAGAGAAGTAAGTGTGTTCTTCAAATTACTTATATAGATGGCGCTTATGTGGGTAAAGTTGAGTGTAAAGCTGCTATCTTTGTTATATTAAAAATTTTTTGCAAACATTAATATTAAAATATACAAAAATAAATCTAGAAAAAATTAAAAATTAAAAATCCTAAAGGTATGTAATTATCAATATATATATACATATATAATTAAACCTAAAGGTATGTAATTATCAATATATATATATATAATTAAACCATCTAAATTAAAAGTATATTGGAGTCAAAGCGACGCAATTCCTCAACAATATTTATAATTGCATCTATACAATATATTTGCTTTATACAATATATATATATATATGTTCGAAGCTGTATTTTTTAGCTTTAAAAGTAATTTAAAAAATTGAATTTCTTTTCTTATTATTTGTTGAATTAAATAAAATATTTAAAATTTCATATGAAACCTAGTAAAAATTAATACAATGGATTTAAAATGCGTGTCTTTTGCATTAACTTATTGATTGCTTGCAAAAGAAATAAGTTTGGAGCGGAAGCATCCTTGAAAGTATATTTTGCCCTAGTCCGGAGTCGATAGGAGACTGTCTAATAACGCCTAATCATTGCACCATTAAAGCAAACTAAAGGAATGCCTTAATTAAACACATGTATCATTCCTTCTTGATGGAGCTCTCACTCTGTAGCTTAATCTTTTGATGCCCACCAAAGAGCTTAGCCCGCACCGCAGTGATTGCAAATTCAGCACCTCGCATTACAAATTTACAACTGACAGATATCGCTTATATTTAGAAAGAAGAATTGTTTAATGCAATCGCCGAATGGTTAAGCAATTAGAGTTCTGGCTGTCCTAACTCATGAGTTTCGCAAAAACGTTCACACCTGCTAAACCTCTAGGCAATGTGGCCTAAATGGTAGCCAGTAAACTATGCCAACTCGATTTTGCTCAACCCTTATGCAGAGTATAAATTTGTGGGAATGTAAAATATGAGCAAATTCTGCATTTTTATTCCTCCCCTGGGAGCTCATTTATAGTGAAAGTATGCATTAAGTACCACAGCAAAATGTTAGATCATTTCTAATTTTTTTCACAATAAATATTTAAAAATTCACGCATCAAAATGCCGCATCTTTCCTGCGCCTGATTTGGATGCTCGTATTTCTTATCCTAACTTGGACTTGGAAGTATTTCTTATCCTAACTTAAACTTATCTATTCTTTTCCTAACTTGGACTTATCTAACTTGGAAGTATTTGTTACTGGAATGCTGTGATTAGCTAATTTCCAATTGTTTCATTCTAGTGTTAGCTTAAAATTTAGAATTAGAACTTTAAAATCTTGAAGAACATTTTCTAAGGCAGAAATTTTTTTTTTGTTTTCCTAGCAATATTTGTTAATAAAAGTTTGTTTACTAGTCCGCAGAAACGCGCAAACACGGAAGGATTAAAGATTTGAAAACGCACATAATTTGAAATAAAAATTTAAAAGCACAGTAAGAGGAAGAATAGAATGTAGTTAAAAAAAGGATTTTTATAAGAAAGCATTCGTTTAAAATGGTATGATAGTTAATACACTACAAGGAGAAAAATAATTTATCATACAGTTTTAGTGGAATAATAGGTTGAATAATCCTGTTTACAGGATATACCTACAATTTTAATCGCGAATAATAAAAGCGTGAAGCGCCCGTGATAAATTACAAAAGATATTGACTTATATATTTTCCCCTCAACCAACTGCAATGCTGTGTGTTACAGAATGTTTTTCAAAAATTGAAATCCCTTTGAACAAATAGTGAAAACAGTGTTAGTTTCGATACTTCTAATTCGGAATTTCTTCAGAAGACCAGACTATAATTCTTTGGAGATATCCCCTGATCAAACTGGCTAAGAATGAGAACAAAAGTGCAAATCTCCGCACTTTAGAGGTCGAACTAATGCTGTCGAGCTGAGAACGTGGTGGAAGATAAAAAAATAATGAAAAATGCCTCTAGAACAATTTATATTCGCTATCCTACTATAATCATTCGTACATGAACACTAAATTAATGAAGCAGATTAAAAAGATTCTATCCAATCCTCTAGAAATGGGCAAAGACAAAGAAAGAGTAAAATATTCGAAAAACGTGAAGAGTCATAAAATAAACTATCCCACGATTACTGTTGGGCAACCTTTAACAACCTGGGATCAAAACAAGACGCATTGAGTAGTATTTTGCTTTAGCATAGGTTATGTTTCACTCGCATAATTGTCTGGAGCATGCTATACACTATTTGCTATGCACCATGAGATTGACGATTAAAGACATTATTGCAGAGGTGAAAAAAATTAAGAAGGTAAAAATTTTGCAAAATAAATTTCTGCAACCCTTTTGTTTCCTAGAAACCACCTTGCTAAAGACTTAAAATTTGATTACGTTAAGGAGTACTTCAATAAGCTAAAGACAATTTCTTCCGTAATACTGAATCAAATCCTGCTGAAAATTTTTTTAGTACCTTAAACCATGAAATTATTCCAAAAGACAACGTTCCTAGAGCATACGCAGTAAGCCTATTCTACATATACATAACTGTTTCGTGCCATCAATCTCTCTCCTGTATAATTGCAAACATTCCCTTGTTCATTTAAAATGCTTTAAATTTTATCTCACTTCTTTTTACGTAAATTGTATCGTACTGAATAGCGCTCGTTTTTATAGATGTTTAGATCAACGATTTGAACCCGTTTAACCGCAATTTTTTATCCCCCCCTTATAAATTATTTTTGCATCATCCAATTTTTGTTCTGCATCATTCGTAAATAATTAAAGTTTTTTCTGCAGCTTTGTTTCTGCAATTAATTTTTAAACTTTCTATCACTTTTAAACTACCACTAACATTATATGACTGAAATAATCAGTACAGTATAACTGCCAAGGATTGAATATTAAAATGATGGCACGAAGAAAATATGTTTAGAATTTCTGAATAAACTGTGCATTTTAACATCAGACGAGCTTATTTAAGTTCATCACTTACATAAATTTTAAACATTCAATGAAACCTTTTCACTCACTGTCAATGCTGTCAAACAAAGTTTGTATTACGGAAATGATCACATTATAGAACCTGAATTTAATTGATGCTCACTAAATAATTTAATTACATTCTGAAAAATGCTGGTCACTTTCAGAGGTGGTCATCTTAAGGAGATGGTCTTTCTGAAAAGTTATTCTTTGTGCGTAAACATTGATTAGATGCTTTTTTTTTTTTTAGTTCAGAGCAAAATATGGATTTCGAAGTAAAGGTTATATGAAGAGATTGTGTTTACTTATAAAGTAAACTTATACAGTAAGACCCCGCTTAACGCTGTTTCGTTTAGCGCTGTTTCGGTTTAGAACTCTTTTATTTCAACCCGGGGATTCTCCGAAATTGTGCGCAGCGCTAGGTTTCCAAATAACATATCCAAAACAGTGTAGTTGTGTTTCTTGCTTGGTGGACGCATTTTTATCATTTGAAACATTTGTTGACATTATTGTAAGTTTAAATTTGTATAATACTATAACGATTAATACAGTGACAAATATTATGATCTTTAGTTTTTATCATGTATATAAAATCATGTATATAAAAAACAAGAAAAGAAAGCAACCAGAAAAAGCATTTCACTGGAAACTCAAATGCAAGTGATTAGAAGATTAGATTCTGGTGAACGTCAATCTCAAATTAGCGCTGCATTGATTTTGGCAACTTCAACAATAAGGACAATTCTTAAGAATAAAGAAAAAATACTGTCATCGGCAACTGCAACTACGTCCAGCTCTGCAACTAGAATTACCCGTTCTAGAAATAACATTATAGAGGAAATGGAAAAACGACTGTCTATATATATGGATTGACGACGAAATTGAACGCAATATGCCATTAAGCCAATCTATCATAATGCCTTCTTGACAAAAAGGCAGAAAATTGGAAACCCAGAATAGACTGAATGATCTGACTGAGAATTTTATTTGTTTTTAAAAGTATATGCGTTTATATTGTTTTTATTTTTGTAAGAAATAAATGTTTGATTTTATTTTTATTAAAAAAAAACATTATTAAATTTAATGCCTAACCATTTTTTATCCGTCTTCCCCTAACCCCATTATTTACATGTTAAGATAGCCTCGCTTAGCGCTGTTTCGCATTACGCTCTACTTCGATGGAACGTATCACCCGCGTTAAGCGGGGTCTTACTGTATTAGACATGTATAATTATTATTAATATATAAATACACTTTAAATCTGTATTCTGCACCTCTATTGCCTAACTCTGCATGCATTGCCTTGGGAAGCGTATTGTTTCAAATATTTCCTACTATGTGCTCTCCTGAATCATATTGGGGTATTGGTTTGGCCCACCACAGCTACAAGGTTGCCAACTACTGGGTTCAGAGTCCTCTGCCTTAAACCAACGGACTTTTCGCCGTCATTAGTGGCGAACCTTTGACAGATAGATTGGACTTCAAAGAAAAGCCTGCATTGCCTTGGGAAGCGGATTGTTTCAAATATTTCCTACTATGTGCCCTCCTGAATCATATTGGGGTATTGGTTTGGCCCACCACAGCTACAAGGTTGCCAACTACTGGGTTCAGAGTCCTCTGCCTTAAACCAACGGACTTTTCGCCGTCATTAGTGGCGAACCTTTGACAGATAGATTGGACTTCAAAGAAAAGCCTGCATTGCCTTGGGAAGCGGATTGTTTCAAATATTTCCTACTATGTGCCCTCCTGAATCATATCGGGGTATTGGTTTGGCCCACCACAGCTACAAGGTTGCCAACTACTTGGTTCAGAGTCCTCTGCCTTAAACCAACGGACTTTTCGCCGTCATTAGTGGCGAACCTTTGACAGATAGATTGGACTTCAAAGAAGAGCCACAGACGCTAATTTTTTTCTGTCATTCCGTTGAGGAAGAAAGATACATTTTAAAGAATCTTTAATTTAACATATTAGAAATATTTTTGTGTGCATAATAAAAGCTGAATTTGCCTGGAAAACTATTCAGGTCGTTTTGTTGGAGACGTTACAATATCGAGAAGTCCAACTGGCATACCAATTTTCTATTTATTTAAACTACGTAAAGTTTAGTTCCATTTCACTTTATTCATGCCAGCAGCTGGAAATGCAATTTTCAGCTTTTTCCAAACGAAAATCTGAAAATTGCATTTCCAGGTTACATCTACATATATTTATGAAATAAATTCAAGATAACAGTCTCGTAGGCATACCTTCGTTTTATAGCATTCATTATGAACCATTCTGCAGGGCAGTAAACTTCGTTGAAAGAAAGTTGTTGACTAACAAATCTTTTATTCCTAACTGTGTTTTAATATTTAATTATTAAAAACTATATTATCATTTGTTTATCTTCAGTCTGTGTTTATTATCTTTTCTATCCTTAACAGAAATATTTTTCTCTCTCTTAAACTACAGTCGGCAAATTTCTCTTACAAAAGAGTAGTTAAATTTTAGATTCGAAAGTATGAATAAAACATTTATCGCTTCTAAATGGTTGCCTCTGGCCGAATAGATAAGATCGGATTAGATACCAGGCAAACGGGCAGATTGTATGGCTGATTTTCGCCACTTTCCCTATTGGAAATACGAATTCGAGGCTGTTATCTGCTTTGGAGGCGGAGTTATTTGCCTAAGGGGAGGGAGACAACTCTGTCGTGCTCTCTCATATTAAAATAACCTAACCTAACCTTCTGAGTCGTGGTTAATGCAGCTTGCATTCTTTAGCAAATTAAAAAATATTTCCTTCATACTCCTATTATTCATTCATTCTCTGTTTCTCCGTTAGTATCAGCATAAATATATGATGAAAACGTCATACAATAAGGCCATCGTTAAATATACAACCAAAGCTTATTAAAAACTTAAATATTAAAATAAAAAATTTGAGCAGTAAAATCACTTACCCTTTGTAAGATCTTTTGGGGAAGCAAAATTTTTACAATGTTGTAAAAAATGCGGTAAAATTGTGGAAGGTTCACTACGTGGATACCTTTGATTCGACAAGGAAGACAACGCTGAAAGAAAAGAAATGATTAAACTTTAGGATTTTATTTTCTTCGGCATGGAAAAATTTTATAATCTTTCTACATACAATTTTCAGTAATTTTAGAAGCAATTTCTATCAGTTCAACATTGATATAAATTGGTTGATTATAACTTAGCGTCCTCTTGAACTTAATTATTTATATCAAAACTAAGTACCGAAATATATCCTGTTCTGGAAGTCAAACAAATAATGCAAATATGCCGCTCCAAGGATATAATATATGCCGCTGAAAGGATATAACTAAGTCCCATTATGAAAACTAAATTTCATTCGAGCTTTAACTTTTCCTCGATGGGCTTCTTCGCTCACTCTGAGCTACAACTTATGTAAGCTTCATCACCAGGCCCATATTATATTATTATGGGATATCGTAGGATTATCAGAGGAAGCAGGAAAATAGTGCATAGGCAGCAGTATTCCTGCATAATTACACAAACATCAAAAGCGTCAAAGAGGTCTAAATGAAGACTGATTTTATTAGCTCCCTTTCGTTTACAGTTATCAAGTATGAAGGAAGTAAGGATACTTAATGAGCATTTGGGTGTGTCTATAGCTATAAGACAAAAAATTAAAATAGCCAAATTAGTCGAAGGTGACATTTACTATATGGAATGTTTTGCCTCGTAGTTGCTTAGTTAGTCTTAGATTTAAATTAAGAACTGGATTTATTCGATGCAACTGAGGAACACTTTCCTCGATGTAAAGATGTTTAGTGGATCATATACATGTGATGATCCACAAAAAATAGTTCTTCAGACACTCACTACAGTGCAAGGAGAATTTCAATTTATTTATTATACATAATTGTACATTCGAAAATAATCGCAGTGAAGATATTGTTACGAATTCCTATATAGATATAAAGAATTTTAGTGAGATTATATGTAAAACTGTACACTGACTACCAATAAGTATTTGGATACATGTGATAGAAAAGAAAAACTAATTTTATTCAAAATCAATAGTTGGTAGAGCCTCCACGAGAGGTAATTACAGCGTGGACCCTCCGGGGCATACTTTCCACAAGTCTTTATATGACAGCTACAGGTATTTTCTTCCACTTGGCTTGGAGAAGACATAGAAGTTCCTTCATCGATTTTGCACGAGTAGTGCACCCCTGAATTCGGCGATGCAACTCGTCCCAGAGGTTCTCGATAGGTTTCAGGTCCGGACTCTGGGCAGATCAGTCCATTCGATGAACTCCATTGGCCCCATACCAAGCCTTGGTTAACGTCGAAACATGACAACTAACATTGTCGTCCTGAAAGTGACAGGGGTCCAACCCGTAAAACTGCCACAACGTAGGAAGCACATTGTCATCCAAAATAGTGCAGTAGGCATCGGAGTTGAGCTTACCATGAATGGGGACCAAGGGTCCCAGCCCATACCAGGAGAAACACCCCCAGACCATAATTCCACCTCCGCCAAACTTGACTGTTGGCACAATGCATTCTGGCAGGAGACGTTCTCCAGGTAGACGCCAGACCCAGACACTGCATCCGAACGGTAAAGGGTGAACCTTGATTCGTCACACCAAAGAACCCGTTTCCACTGATCTACGGTGCAATTTTGATGTGCTTTGCACCACATTAACGAAGCAGCGCGGTTGGACTTTGTGATCAAAGGCTTATGGGCAGCAGCACGACCATGAAAACCAAGCAGATGTGCTTCCTTACGGATGGTATTCATTGAAACAATACTCCCGGATGCCTGTTGAAACTTCTCGTGGATGACGGCCATCGGTTGGATGCGGTTCTTCCGAATTTCTCTGGACAGCACTCGTCGGTCTCTATCTCCCAGTTTCGTTAGTCTGCCGACTCGGGGCACATTCCGACAATCACCGCTCACCTTCCACTTTTAATCACATAGGCCACTGTCGATTTTGGGTACTTCAGATCGCTAGATATGTACTTTAAGGATAGGCCACATTGTGATACTCGATAATTACACCTTTCTCGAAATCAGAGAGCTCCGAACTGCGAGGCATCTTGCATGCGAGTAAAGCAGATGCTGTTTCTTACACGATATATACCGGCGGAGTCCGTGACGTACCTTAGGACCGCAGATATCGTCATTTGCATAGGTGTCCAAATACTTATTGGTAGTCAGTGTAGTATCTCTTGTATAATGTAAAATGAAAGAACTCGGGAGAGAGAAGCGTTGTTCGAAAAATAAAATTACAGGGGCAAGAATTTTTAACATTGAGGAAACCGGTTATCTCACCAAATATGCGAGATTTGGTGACCAAACCAAGCAGGCGATGGTTTGCGGAACTAATTATTGTTGCCAAATTTGGTGAGAGATCAGCAAAAGTCATCAAACATGGCAACTTTTAGATTGGAATCCTATATAACTATAATTGATGTTATCCTTATAACTGTAACTGTGCCAGGTTTTTTATGTTACTGTAGCTCTATATTCCTTCCAGTAATTTCGAGAAATCTAACGTTGGAAATTTCTTGGCAGCTAGGGGAAAATTACATAAGACCAGAGACAGCATCAGTTCAGAATAGAATTCTGAGTTTTGAGAGATTTCCGTGTGAGCTTCGCTCTTTAAATCCGCTTTTCATTCGGTTTTGCTTAAGATTTTGGTTCTTCGAAGCGGCAGCTACTGATTGCGTTCTGGTGCTGAGAAGTAGAGTACTTTTGTGAAAATTCCGAAATTCTTAAGTGTTTCATTAGAGAAAACAAATTTTATCAAGCTCTGATCGATTGTGTCTACATTCAATCCATTATGAACCCATAAAGCATATAACAATATTGTCAGGTGCATATAAATTTCTTCCAATAACTTGAATCCTTACATTTCATCAAAATTTTCAACCATTCAGTCAATAATGCATTCTTTCTAATTTTTTACGGCTTCCTACCAGTGTTCTATTAAAAAATCATCAAAACATCTTGACTTAAGGAGGTCATTATTCACCGTTTACAACTGTATATTTTCTCCGCAAGATTTGCTTTGCAAATTGTTTGATAGTTACCAGAAAAGGGCATAATCCGAGGGCACTAAATCAGGAAAATACACCAGGAGCAGTACGGCTTCCCTAACGAATGTCTTAATTCTGGTCAAATTAGTAACATCAGCAGTAGCGATGAAGTGTTGAGAAAACGCGCTATGTCACTTTTTGAGTCGCTTTAATAGGCTTCCCTGTGTACGCTATTGCATTTGCTGATTTTAACACTCTGGAATGACTGTGTTGTTATTTTCAAACACGTTGTTAGCTATTACACTTTAGTCCCATCAAAAGCACATCACTCTCTTAAATGTATACAGTTGTATCTCTGCTTGAGGTACTGAGTGCTTAACGATTCTTTCCTAGTTCCATTTTGACATGAATGCATCAATTCTTACCCTGCTGACCACAGACGCCTCTGCTTTTATGTTCACAAGTAATCAGATGTTGAGTAAATGCAGGGTGATAACGTGTGGCACACATGCATCGAACGCTTCGAATATATCTGTCTGATGAAACATGGTTCTGGCTAGCGAAGTAATTATGCTAAGTATGCGTTGATGAAAACTGGCAAAATCAAAACTAAAGCCGCGTATTGAGGTCACTATATAGCGGATTAACATGGATTCTCCTGGGTGATACTGCGATGTCAGATTTCTCTCTTTAAAACAAGAAAATCCATTCCTCTGCAGTTTTCCTTTTCCTGGAAGATTCCTTCCCATGCTACATATGTCTTAAGCAATTCTGAAAAGTCTCAAAGTAAAGAGAAGCAGGTATTGAAAATGTTTTTGTCTACTTTGGTAGGCTATCCTGGAAAATGAAAATTAAAATTCAGAAATCGAGAACAAACATTATATACTGGTTATCATAAATAAAGGAAAAATCACAAAAATCACGATTACTGAAAAAGTTACATGTAGAATTTGATGAATCTTACCCACAATATACAACACATAGTAAGGTATCAAATAACATAAAAAGAAATTACCAAACAAATATGGCAGTATAGAAATTAGCACATGTATGAAATGAACAAATCGAAGGTGTCAGTTTGCTATAGGAAAAGTACCTTCAATATGGAATATGATCACCTCTAGAAGCAATACAGCACATACAGCGATGTGTGATGCTTTCAATTATGCGGTCTATCAGTTCCATAGAAAGCCGGAGCCATTGCTCTTGCAAAGCAGTTGCAAGCGCGCCAAGGGTCTGAGGGGGCGGATTGAGAGCAGCTAGACGTCTCCCTAAAGCATCCCAAACGTGCTCGATAGGCTTCAAGTCCGGGGGATCAAGCTGGCCACTCCATGCGCATAATTGTTTTGTTGAAGATAATCATCTACGAGGCGAGCCCTGTGGGGTCTTTCGTTGTCGTCCAGTAACAGGAAAGCATCACCTATTGCCCCAGCATATGGGCGCACATAAACATCAAGGATGTCATCTCTATAAATCTGAGCATTCATGGTTCCCCTTGGAAAGACATGGAGGTCTGTGCGTCCACCCAAAGATATTCCACCCTCAAACACAAACATTACCCCTTCCGTATGGTTCTCTTTCACGGATGTTTGACGGATGATAACGGGTTCTAGGTTCTCTCCATATCAAATAACGCGTACTATCCCTTTCTAGACTAAACCTGGACTCATCCGTAAAGAGAACCGCCCTCCATTGATCAGGCGTTCAGTGGACATGTTGTTGTGCCACTGAAAACGGACCCTCCTATGGTGTGACGTGAACGGCACATAAATGGCTGGTCGCCTCGCATACAGACCACCTTCGTGAAGCCTTCTACGCACAGTTGACGTTGACACGAACCTTCCGGTGGCTGCAGCAAGGGAGGATCTAAGAAGAGTCGGAGTAGCGGTTCTATTACTGCGTGCACATAGTGTAAAATATCGGTCATCGGCACTTGTCGTAGCAGTTGGCAGTCCTTGGCTGAACCTCCTAGATGCCAAATATGTGATTTGAAATTGCCTCCAAAGTCTATGAACCACAGGACTCACATTTAGCCAGCTGGTCACTTCTGTTTGACTTGGCCCTGCCCCTAGTCTCTCAATGGGTCTCCATCGCAGTTCTACAGGCAAATGATGCCTGGAGGTCATGTTATAAATTGGCTACGTGAGATTTCTGAAGTCACTGTCATAGTGAAATATGGGGGCTTGCTCTCAAGCATGGACTTTTATGCTCCTCGCAGATGACGTATTCCGAAAGCAGCGCCACTAATTTGCATATCGCAGTTTTACTCAGCTACTATTACTTGGCAACATATTCAAATTTTACACGGTTTGGCTTATTTTTGAGAGAGTTATCGCTATTTCTGTGATTTTTCCTTAATTTATGATAGCCAATGTAGTAATGATGTAGTTACAATAAGATAGTTCATCCTTCAATTCCTATTAAACAAATCTTCTTCTTCAATGGCCAGACAGCCCAGGATGGGCCCTTGCCTTCCTCAGAATCGAATTCCAAGCTCTTCTATCCCTGGCCATGGACATCCAGTTGGTTATTTTTAAAATTCTTAAGTCTGTTTCCAAACAGTCGAACCACCTAAGTTTAGATCTCCCTCTTTTTCGGACGCCGAATGGTCTGGCCGAGAAGATCTTTTTAGTTACTCAATTTTCACTCATTCTCCACAGGTGTCTTGCCCATTCAATTCTCTGAATCCTTATATATTTTGCTATATATATTTTTTAAAGGATTTATAGAGTTAGTTCTTCTCCAGATATTGTTACATTTTATGCCACCAAAAATACTTCTCAAAATTTTTCTTTCAAAGACAGAAATGATACTTTTAGCTTTTTCTGTCAATGCCCAGGTCTCAGCAGAGCATGTAAGAATGGGTCTGATTAAGCTTTTGTAAATTAAAATCTTCGTTTTTCTGCTAGTGAAGTTAGACTTCAAGTATTTTTTGAGACCGAAAAAACATCGGTTAGCATCTGTGACTCTACTACTGATCTCGGGCATTAAAATCATTGAGAATATTAACTTCTGATCCTAAATATTTAAATTTGCTAACAGTTTCAAATTTGTAATTCCCAATTTCCAAATAGGGACTGGTGTTATTACTACATGGCATGTATTTAGTTTCATTTTGGTTGATTGCTAGATGCATTTTGCTCACTGCAACCTCTAGAGATGTAAAAGCCTCTCCAAGTCACTCGGGAGTGCGTGCGACTATATCAATATCGTCAGCAAACGCAAAAATCTGAACAGATTTGTTAAAGATAGTTCCACGAGTATCATTGTCGGAGTCTTTTATGATCTTTTGAAGGGCAAGGTTAAAAAGTAAGCAAGCCAGTGCATCACACTGTGTGAGCCCATTTGAAGCAACAATAGACTCAGAAAGATTATTCTGGATTTTAACCCTAAGTTTTGTCTCAGTAAGAGTAATTAATGGTGACCAAATTTATAAGTTTTTCAGGTATTGCAAATTCTCTCATAGCTTCAATTAAACATTTTCTGTTTACTGAGTCATAGGCAGTCTTAAAATCAACAAAAAGGTGGTGACTGAACAAGCACAGATCAAATTCAAAATGTAATATATCAAAAGAGACTTACCACCGCTGCAAGTGCAAAGAGGATTCGATGAAGCCTGAATAATTTTTGAGCTATGTCAAATGTCAAGTTTTTACAATCAAAGATTAAAACGACACCACTCACTTGGTATGCTTCTATATCATTTGTCACTAAACCCATGCATAAAACTGTGGCGAATAGTTCCTCAACTGTAGCAGTTTTAATATCATGAAAACCTAAAAAATAAAATAACCATTAGTAAAATTATTAACAGACAGTTAGAAATCATGTATCTTCATCATTCTACTTATTTGTTGAAGCGAAAAAAATTGGAAACATGGAAATGGGAGATTGGAATAAAGGGGAATTCTAGCAGAAGATTTAAAGCAAGTTATACAGATACTAAAAATTCCTTTTGTGGGTGAAGAAACCATTTTGATCAATTCTTTCAGTAACTTATAGGAATTAAATTATATCTGATTGTTACGAAAGTTTTCTGCCAAAAAAAACGTTCTTAATAATGTTAAAAATACATAAAAGCAATACTTTTAGTGCGATTAATAATTAACAGCCAAATCTATTATTTTCTGCCAACGTTTTGGTACTTTTTCAAAGCCTTAGGCCCAGAAACTTGGTGGCCGAATATCCAAAAACAGATAAACCTCAATTTTCTTTAAAGTCCTTTAAAGAACGAAAGCACCAGCAAGATGTAGCTGCATGTGTGAAAAAAGGTAGATGTCCGAAGGAGCGAATTCGGGGCTATACGGTGTGTGTGGCAAAATATCCCATTCGAGAGCACTGAGTCCAGCCGGGGAACGCCGAGACATATGGTCTTGCATTATTTTCATGGAATATTACACTTTTGCGCCGGAACGCAGTTAGACGTTTTACCTTAACAACAGCATCAACACGAACAAGCATCTCGCTGTACAACTTACTGTCGAGGGCTTTACTTCTTTCCAGACATTCTTTGTGAATAATACCACGGCAATCCTACCAGATACAAAGCTTGATCTTTCTGTTAGTCAAAGTGCGTTTTGCGATGCTGCCGACGTGCCTACGGGGCGCAGACCAACCGTTTTTCTGCGTATGTTGTTGAAAGAACAGCACAAATCACTATCTGAAGACGCACAGAAGAATGACATACCGAAATAGAAAATGTGTTACGGTATTTAGATAACTATAATGATTTTAAAAATGAAAAAGAATAAAAAAGACTAACCAAATCAAATTTGATCAAGTTTATAGTAAATTTTCTTAAAATGTTTTCCAACAAAACCCATAGACATTCAGAAGAACTCGGTACAGTTAACGAAGATGAGGATGACACTAATGTCGATATCGATAGTGAAAGGGAATTGTCTCTTGAACAAAAATTAGAATTAGCGAAAACTAAAAAAATTTCAACAAACCAAAATACAATACAGAAATCAAGTTATATCCAAAACCATCCCACGAGAAATCGATTTATTTGAAGATGAGGGATTTAGAGGTAAATACTTGGAAAAAGCATATCGCGCATTGCTAACAGTACCACCAACTAGCATAGATGATGAAAGAGCGTTTACGAGAGCTGGTAATTTTTGCACAAAATTACGTTCCACGCTTAATGACAGTACAATTAATTTTTATAACTGCATATATTATTGATATGTTTTTCAAGATCACATTTCAAAAGACTTTTTTGTGATTTAAATACATAAGATGTTCCTTGTTTCTTTACATTTTCGTGATTCTTTATATACTGAATCATTTGTAACTTAATTTATGTATCATTTGTAACTTAATTTATAAGTTACAAATGACTTTTTGTGATATTTACTCTCTCTAATAAAACTGGCTAATAAGGCAAAGAAACAGCTATATTTTCTTTCTTTTTCTAAAATTCCTACTACCGGTATTAAAACCGGTGTTCTGGTATTAACATCTAAAAAATACCGAATACTGGTATTAAACTTTTGGTCCGAAATTGCAATCCCTACATATGAAGTAATTCACTTTCTGTAATGATCCTAAATGGCATGAAATGTGAGCTTAGGAAAGTAACGGATTTCTGACACAGCAAAAGAATTTATCCTTAAAATTGTTCTGGTACACATATCAATTAGAATTATTAACTGCCTATTATTCGGATGACACAACAATAAAATAATATATGCTTATTGAAGGGCTTAAAAAGATTTTCAAATTACATATCTTACTAAGTATATAAAAGACTTAACTTGTACTTCAGAGAGTCCAATAAAGTAGATTAGTTAACCTTCCACCACGAGCGCTTGGCAATTTTACGTGAGCACGTGCGCGCCGTATTTTTTACGATATCCGTTATTTTACCGTTTTTCGCACGGAAAACAACAGAAATGAGTGAATATTAATAATAAATTTGTTAAGAAATAAAATACTAATCTTATTATTGCAAAATACAAATGATATCACATTCGAATATAAGTAAATTATTTTTAAGTTCTTATGTTAGCGAGATGGAAATGCAATGATGTATTGCGTTATAGAAAATTTTAAATTGATTATTCAATAATCATATTTTAAAATCGAAGCTAATTTTAATATTCATCAAAGACAAGTATCATCAAAGACAAGTAAAAAAAAAGAAAACACTTTGGTAGGGAAAAAGTAAGGTTAGCATGACTTACTTTCTGCAGTGAAATTTACTGGTTACAAAAACGCGCTTTAAACTAACTTTAATGTTAGCTTTAATGTTAGTTTTAATGTTAGTTATTAACTTTAATGTTAGTTAACTATTTTATTTCTAAAAAATAGAAATAAAATAAAATAAGGAATGGAAATTGCTATTGTTCTCCGATCCAAAGGTGTCCTTGTCTTCCTTTTCATCATCAGATAATTCTTGAAGAATCCGAGCAAAATCAGCTGGTTGCACATATTTTTTCCCATGAAAACCGATATAAAATTTACAGAGCCAAATTTATTCAAATTAAAATAATACACGGCAATTAATAAAACAAAACTGCAAAATATTTGATAAAAAATATATTCCAAATCTTAAAACACGACCACGCGCTTATCGTAACTTGTCGGAAAAAGCTGCCACGTATCACAAATCACAGTTTAAAAAAATCTGATGTGTACACCACATGACTTCCTTGTACGGAATATTAAATTATACGTATTTTTTCTTGCATTTCATTTAAACTTTTCAGATTGAATTAAACATACTTCGCCGACAGCGCATAAACCACAATAGAATAATGCATTCTTTAAAATTCACTTTGTTTACCATAGCGACACTGGCGCTAGGTTTACTTAACAGCATTATATTTAGTTCATATTATAACTCAGAATGCACAAAATTTACATCATTTGAAGAATTATCTAATTGTTGCCACATGTTCTATTCAAATACTATAATAAAGCTAGAACGATGTATAAAAGAAATTAAGCAAACAAAACAAAAAAGAAACAGTTTTCACAGACGATTGAGTATTTCTCATTCAATTAATTCAGTTTTTCAATTCGCGACAAGGCAAAAATACATAAAAACTCAAAATATCTATATTAAAAATTACGAAGTAAATCTTAAACGCTTATTTCCTCAAAAAAATTCCAGAAAGGATTAAGCATGATTTAAATAATAAATGAAGGCGTTATCTTTGTTGTTGCGAAGCTAAGTTTCTCTAGATTGGCAACAAATCCGCTATTCTGCTGTTTCAAATGTAAACAAGAGCAATGGCCGCCATCAAAAACATTATTAGGCTTAGCGGCACTTAAACAATATTAAAATTGTTGATAATTCTAAAAATATTGCATACAGATTTACTAAAGGCATAAAAACCTTAACCGGAAGATAAGAACAACATAATTCAATCATTTTTAAAGCAAAAAATGTACAATTTACCAAACATATAAGAAGTAAAGACACTGAGACTCACTGAGCGGGTAACAGAGAGGGATATATATTATAAATATATTTATATACGTTTGGGTGTGGGCCGATTGCAACCAAAATAGTGAGGTGCACCAATCTTACATGTTATAGCAGTCCTATATACAAAATTTCAACGTTCTGAGGCTACTTCGTTTTTGAGTTATGCGAGATACATACGTACGTATCTATTGTACGTACATACGTTCGTGACATACACATACTGCCACGAAAAAATTCTCTACTGAAGTTCATTTTAAAGCAGTTTTATAATTTTTTTGGAGGAAAAAGAGAGCATTTTATTCTGTCCTTACGTACAGATATCACGGAAATACATTGTTAAATTGCATTTGAAAGAGGTCAAAATAGAATATTTTCGTTGAAATATGCTGCCTGAAACTTTTCGCGATTACAATACTTCCTTTTTACTTCGTACAAGGAATTAAAAAGTAAAATGACTTCCTGTTGGCACATTCCATGATGTGGGGAATGGTACAAAGGAGGAATACAAATGACCTTCAGACGTCTCAGCTTCGATATGCGAAAAATGTGCATTAAAAACTGAATTTGTCGTAAATTTTGCGCATACGCGCGTGCTGGAAGGGTAATCGTATAATATCAGACGAGATGCCTTCATAAGTGGAGGGATAACTCCTTCCAGAACTTTCATGGCAGCGAATGTTTTTTACCAATGGCAACATAAACTGGAGCTAAAATAAAAGTCTTTCACGACTTTAGCTACTCAGCTTTAGTACGTGCAACAAGAAAGAAATTTCATCTAGAGGGGGAGGAGGTGTTAGATAGCTGTCATATGCGTCTCCATAAAAATAATTTCCAAGCATATCTCAGGATACTTGTTTTGAAAATTTGAACAAATTGAAATGTTGCATTGGAAATAATCCTGCCACATGTGAACAAAGAAACGTCTCTCCTGTTCTGTTTGAACCTACCAGCGGCTGAGAGGTAAAGTTGCTGGACACTGGTAGTTTCGACTCCAAGCGAACGAGTTCGCTGCATGGACATTTTCGTGCTTTTCCCTATCTGTAACGGAGGCCCACCTGCGGCCGAGCGGTAAAGTCGCTGAACACTGGTAGTTCGGTCCGAGGTTCGAATCCAGCGAACGGGCTGACTGTGTGGGTGTTTTCGTGGTTTTCCCCATGTGTAACGTGTGTACGAGAAAGTTTCCCTTAGAAAGTCCTCCACGAAGGCATCCTCACCCTTAGGCAGATAGCCCTCGAGGCTTTGCCGTAATTAAATAACCTAACCCTATCTGTAACTTGTATACGAGCCAATTTCCCTTAGTAAGTCGTTCACGAAGTATCCCTTTCCTTAGGCAGA